CTATCTTACTGAAGTATCGACACCCTTGCACTCGGGCCGACAAGTCATCGATGCTCGGTAGGGACTCTGCGTTCTTTATTGTGATGACACTGAGGCCCCTATAATCAATGCACATCCTTAAGGTTCCCCCCTTCTTCGGTACAAATAAGATAGGAGATCCGTAAGGGGAAACACTAGGCCAGATCCACCCCTTCTCTATAAGATCCTGGAGTTGTCGGCGAAGCTCATCGAGACATCCAATAGATCCTACCCTTCAGAATACTAGACCCTGGGATAATCTCTATCGCATGGACGACCTCCCTCTCAACAACACCTTTCGACTCTTCGAATAGATCAGGGTACTTAGCGACCTCTCCCTCTATCTCTGAAGGTATTTTCACTGGCTCATCCTCTGCAGAGACATAGATTAAGTACATACCATCCTCCGTATTTTGCTTATAGTAATTATAAAACTTAGTCGCACACATGCACCCGTAGGACTCAATCAGACTACTAGCTTTATACTTATGCAACTTGGCGGTCCCCCCATTGGGCAGCGTGTGTTTGATTATTTTTCGGTCCCAGTCAAATTGGGTTGTGCAACCGAAAGATAGTACATACCCAACAAGATATCCATTGGGAGATCATCGCTGACTAGGAACGAGACTCGATGTCTCAGTTCCCCTCCCGCGTACGGGAAATGACACTCAATGTCTTTGAGGTAGTCAGTGACTACCATGCGCTGTTTGTTGGCACAGGTTGACTCAGGCGCTGCACTTGCCCCTCTAAGCGCATCCTCTCAACGCACGCACGACTAATAAAGTTTCGCGTCGAGCAAGTATCATAATAGGCCCCGGCCTTGCGGCCGCTGATGACTATCTCGCCAACAAACAACTCATCCTTAGGGGCTTTGACCATGGCCGTCCAAGAAGCTAGCGGGTCCGATCTAGACCACTTCTCCTCTAGCTGACTCAAACACATTCATCGAACAGAGGGTTGATGGGTCTGAATGTATTGGCGGGACGGCAACGGAGTCAGCAGCTTGGACCATCTCTCGAGATGGTGGGGGTGTGTCCACCACCTTGACCCGACGTGTTTCCCGAGGCGGTGCCAGAACTGCTGGCCACATTGCTACCCTGGGAAGCGGAGGATCCCGTCGCGTGCCCCATTGTAGGCGGGATCTTTTTCGTCACCTTCTTATTGCGACACTTGAATTGGTTATGGTCATATTGACCACAATGGATACAAGTCTTCCAGGTGTACCGGTCTCTCCACACGCCCTCTGTGAGACCCGCTTTCTCCCATGGAGGAGCGTTGGGGTCTACTTGACTCCTAGACCGGGAACCTCCACGGCGTCTACCTGTCGCCTTACCTTTTTGGACTGAGGCAATGATGACTCCACCCCTTGAAGCCTCTGCGCTGCCCGCCTGTACCTACTCCCTCCTAGAAGTCGTCATCCAACTCGATGGTGGAACCATCGTTGTCGACGAACACAATACGACCCTTCGCCTTCCAGTTGGGAGGCAGTGCCTTCTTCCTTCCATCCGTCGTGGGGTAGTGCCCATGCCGTATCTTTGCTTCCAGGTCAAGGGCCTTCTTGCTAAACGAGGGGAAGTTGTGTACATTAATATTTGCCTCACCTGCCAACTGATTCCTGAGTGGCATTGGAAGACACCTCAGGTAAGTGGTAAGTAGAGACTTGGGGGTCGTAACGCACTCCAGGTACATAGATCAGACGCTCCACTGCGTCTGTGGCATCCCTTACTGACTTGAACGATCTAGAGCTCAAAGTCAGGATCGCATCAGTGGCCTTTTACCCTCCTGAGGATCATGCCACCTTTCTTCCACCAACTTAAGGAAGTCTTCCAGTTTCTGGTCGACTGCCCAAGCATGAAAGTCATGACCGTACCCTTGTAGTTGTACGTACCCACTTAACCATCTTGCTGCACTCCCCTCCAGGTAGGAGGGAGCCACAAGCACTTCCTCGTGCGTCAAGGTCAACTTGCACTTCACGTCGACTGGCATTGACCTCAACCATGTGTCAAGGTCTTCGCCTCGCTTATCCCCTAAGAAGGGTTTAGGCGTTGCGATGGCAGTTTTCGGAACCCACTGGCCTTGTGCCGGTACCTTCGCCACTCCAGGCTGTGGACCCTGGGCTGCAGGCTGCTGCACTAGCTGCTGTTGGGGCTGTGTGCCCTGTGGCTATGCCGGCTGCAAGACAGCAGGCTGCCCAGTTATGGCAGTCTGCAATGGAGGTTGGGAATACACTGTCTGTATAGGAATCTGTACACTAGTACCTGTTGGGAACCCGCTTGTCAAAGGCATACCTAGGGAAGCGGCCTGTACCGATGCTGGAGGGACTACAAATGGGGACACTCCAGTCACCGGCGGGACAAAAGGAGGAGGCTGTACCACAGGCCGGGCACCGGGCCCTGATGGTGATGGAGCTGCCTGAACTCGCCCGACCAGCACGGCCAGGCTCCGCTGGATGTCCTATAAGAGAGTCGTTTAGCTGGACTGTCCGCAGGGTCATCACATCATCATCCATGTTTGTCAGGTCCATCCTCTCTACTCACTAACGTCCGCTTGTCTCCGCTGCATCCTCGATCTTCTCCTGATCATTCTTTCTTTCTCTGCCTTTATCTCTCCTAAAGCCTGCTGTAGCTGTGCCTCGCGAGCCGCTGCTCGCTGTATGGCGACCTCCTCGGGAGTCAACTCTAACTGCTGGCTTGCCATGACACTAGCGGACTGACTCAGGGTCTGTGCAATCGTTGCCCCTTACAGTCCCTAAACTACTGGGCTGGGAGCTTTGCTGAGCAGCTGTGGCCATGGCTGCTGAAGTAGCAGCTTCGCTTGCGAATGCCGTGCTTGCCTCTGCAGCCCTAGCTCTTCGCTGCTGCTGCTGTCTATCCCTAAGCTGGCGGAACAGAAGCCTGTCACCCTCGGGTCCTAATGCCACGTGGGAATCTTTAGATTAGCGCAACGTACCACAGCTCCGATACCAAAATGCAAAGAAAATGACCGATAGCGAACTCCAGAAACCAAGCAGCATCATACACATGAAACCAGATAGTCGTGACCTCGAAACAAAAGCCGAATTGCAACACGAGTTCCACCAAATAAGAGCACAGCAAAAGCTCACAAGTGTCAATGTTGGAATAGTCTCATCATCATCAACAATGAACCAATGTCGACATCCTATCTGGCGCTCTGCGCCCAGACTACAAATGGCAGATCCTCTCTAGCCTATCTACAATGCCGCTGGTGACGTCAACAGCTCCCCGAAGTACGAGCAGATCTCAGCCAATGCCGTTCGCCTCAAGCACCAGGTATGTCTCTCGTATCACTCACAACTCGATCCCCCACTCACAGATGTCGCATGCACCCAAGGGCCACCATGTGCCCCATCCAGCATAGTGCAGGGCAGCTCGGCTATGGCTGCCCGCTCTTCCTGCTCGCCTGTGAGCGCGTGGGTGCTGGCCAGCGAATAATGCAGCAGCGCTTGCGCAGCATGCAGCCAGTGCCCGAATGCCAAATGCAAGGGCAGGCAGTTTCCTAAATGGAAGTGGCCTTCCTGCTGCGTGTGACCAGGCTGCGCTGGGCCCCTGCCCAGAAGCTTCCGGTAGGCCTTGAGAGGCTGAGCCCCAGTCCAAACAAATCAGGCCCAGGGCCTGTGGCGGTTACCCGTGTCCAACTGCCCGCAGCCCGTGTTTGGTCCATGTCGCGTATCTGGCCCAGGGTCCGCCTCAGTTACATTTGGAAAAAGGCATCCAGGGCCTGGGCGATCTCAACCAACTGGTGCTGCACAACTGCCTGAATTTCCCCAGTTTGCGTGGTAGCCGAAAAATAGGCCTCTCGGCCTTGGTCAGGCCTGCCTTCACTAAGGGCGGCCGACAGTGCTGAAAACAGGGCTTAATAGGGCTCGTCGAGGCCTGGAGTCTCGCAATCGTTTCCTGACATAAAAAAAAGGGGAAGAAAAAAAAAAAAAAAAAGATATCTTCTTTTCCATATCTCACCAATAGGGTTGTAGGTTGTCAATCTTTGAAACAGTTTACGCTCCCGAGTCCCAACCTCTACACAGTCAGTCGGCGGCTTTTTTTAAACCTGCGAAGTTGCGCAATTTCTATTCTACTCTGGGAAAAAGTTTAATCGGTGGTTGCTTCCCTAAAGGTAGACCGACCCCTTTCTGCCATAAAATGTTTGGCCCATCGCAGAGACGCAGGCAATGCTGCACGTCTTCCACCGCACCGACATCATTGTTGGTGGTGCGTAATTCGTTGAGGAGGTTTCTATTCAGATATTCAGATCCCTTCTCCTACTGTTTGACTAACCAATGATTGACCATCCGGGATAGCGAGAGGTAAGTAATTGGACGCTGGAGGGTCCAAACGACTCGTAACGAGGGCATAACGAATGGGCAGGACTTTGCCTGAAGCCGAAGGGATCTGGGAGTGGGATTTCAGTTGCTTGAGGGGATCAGCATTGCTGCCACTCAAATCCAAGGGAGGTAAATGGATAATAAGATGGCATCGGATTCTGGGTGCATATTTTGGGTGGTGGGTGGCGGAGACTGGGCAGACGAAATGAAATAACATAATGGCGCCGGATTAGATGTGCGACTCTGAGCTCCATCCGGTTTTGGAAGGTGGGTGGAGGGGAATAATATAATATAGTGACAAATTGTGCAGAAAAAACTGCGGAAAGTTGATTGACCTTTTTTTCTTTTCCGTACTGGAAATAGAAGTCAAATGAGCTTTCGCCCTTTTGCTCGAGAGACGAGATGTTCTCTTGTTTTTGTTTTTGTTTTTGTTTTTGTTTTTGTTTTTGTTTTTGTTTTTGTTTTTTGTTCAAATTGTTGTTCCTTTTCTTTTCTTTTCTTTTCTTTTTTTCGTTCTTTGCAACAGAGACTTTTTAAAAGTTTTTTTGGATCTAGCAAAAAAGTTGAATGATCTTTGTTATTGTTTGTTTTATGAACTTTTATCAAGTTTTTAATTTATTTATTTTTGTTGTGGTGTTTGCAGGCTTCACAGCTAAACTGTTTAATAAAGATTCCTTGAAGCGGCTCGACCTGGTTGCGAATTTTGGACTTACGTTCTTCTTGTTCATGGTGGGGCTGGAGTTGGACCCAGACGCTCTAAAAGCATCCGGCACAATAACTACCGCCATATCCATTGCGGGAATGTTTTTTCCATTTGTGCTTGGAATCGGAGTGTCGTTTTTCTTATACAATGATACCGATACAATGGAAGGGCTTAAGGACGCTAACAGCAAGATAGGCTTTGGTCCCTTTCTGGTATTTATGGGGGTGGCCATGGCGATCACCGCGTTCCCAGTCCTCGCTCGTATTTTGGCTGAGTTCAAGCTGCTCACAACAGAGATTGGAGGGTTAGCGATGTCCGCAGCTGCGGTTGACGACATCATGGCATGGGTTCTTCTTGCGCTCGCCGTCGCCCTCGCGAACGCGCACGGGTCAAATCCTGTGGTTGCTTTGTATGACCTGCTCATGGGAGTGGGGTTTGTCATCGTGATGTTTGTGGCCGTTAGGCCGCTTGTGAAGAAATTCGTCCAGAAGGTGACAACGGACGACCACATCCCAGAGTACCTTGTCACCTTGTCGTTCATTGGCTGCCTTTTATCAGGATTTCTTACAGACCTGATGGGCATCCATGTGATTTTTGGAGCGTTCTTGTTCGGCCTAATTCTACCCAAGGAGGGGAATTTTGCGCATTCACTGATATCAAAGCTGGAAGATTTTGTTGGCACGCTTTTGCTTCCACTCTATTTTGTGAGTTCGGGACTCAAAACAGAAGTGGCATCAGTAAACAGCATCAAATTGTTTGGGGTTCTGGTTCTTGTTATTGCAACGGCGACGGCTGGCAAGGTGTGTGGTGTATATTTTGCGGCCAGGTTGTCAAAGCTACCTCCCAGGAAGGCTCTCACCTTCGGCGTGTTGATGAACACCAAAGGGCTTGTTGAGCTCATCGTGCTCAACATTGGATACGAAAAGAATGTGAGTACTTCCCTAACCGTTTATCAATTCCACCTTGCGATAATCATTGCTATGTGTGTTTGCATGACACAATGCTTCTGCCACCGTGCTGCGGCATGTTGCGTCATTATGATAACTCGTGCTAAAAAGCAATGCTGGCTGTGCTCACGATATACACAGTTGGGGAGGGGGGGGGGGGTTGCTGAGCAACTGGGTACCATTGGGAGTCTCCCAGCTTGGAATGCCTCCGCCCTTCCCTGGGCGTGTTGTGGTAGTGTGATTGAAGCACTGGCCGCCAGGGTAGGGCCTGCCAATACCTCGGCCTGCACAACCTTTGGGGGGGGGTTGGTGAGCAACTGGGTACCATTTGGGGTCATCCGGCTTGGAATGCTCCTGCTCTTCCCTGGGTGTGTCGTGGTAGTGCGGTTAAACCACTGACCGCCACGGTAGGGCCTGCCAATACCTCAGCCTGCACAACCTTTTCGCATTAACTCCAAACCGCGGAGCACCTACTATTTAGCACTGCTTAAAGGTGCTCTCTCAAACACGCAAAGTGCTTAGAAAAATAGGAGAAAAGACAATACATCAAACTCTGTGTGTGTGTGTGTGTGTGTGTGTGTGTGTGTGTGTGTGTGTGTGTGTGTGTGTGCCATACATTCATCTTGGAGAAGTCGATTGGAAGGGTGAGACGCAGGAAAGGCACAAGCACAAGGCATAAGAAGAAAACGGGAAGAGATTGAGAAAAACAGGACGAGAATGTGACAGACTGATCCATTGGACTTACTGACTCATCAGGATGAATCTTTGACAGTGTGCAGACCTCCCATCTTTATCTCTGAATGGTCTACTTCAATCCCTGCTGCAAGCCGACAGCCAGGCAGCTGGCTAACAGCAGCTGGGGTAAGCAAAGTAAGCAAGCATGCAGCTAGGTGTACGGGCGGCCACGTGTACGAGCGGCAAGGTGAATGAGCAGCAAGGCAACACAAGGCAAGCAAATGGGCAAGGCAAACCAGGCAGCCATAGAGTAAGCAAGCAGGCGGCCAGAAAAGCAGGAAGCCAAGCAAAGCGGGGCGGACAGTGAAGGTAGCAGGTGGGTTGGCAGCACAGGAGGCAGCAGGGCAGGCAACAAGGCAAGCAAGCAGGCAGATGGCCGGAAGGGCAAGTGAGGCACATGGACAGGCAGGCAGCAGGGTTGCAAGGCATAAAGGTTTAGAGTTTAGGCGGGACGGCAAGCGGGCAAATGAAACAGAAACACAAGGCAAGTGGTCGGGTAGCCTGGCAGCGGAACAGAAGTAAAGCAGAGGGTAGGCAAAGAGGTGAGCTGGCGAGTGGGCTTAGAGGCACGAAGAAAACCAAACTGTAGGGTAGCAAGGCAACACAAGGCAAGCAGGTAAGCAGCCAGGCAGCAGGGAGCCACTGGACAAGGCTGTCTGCACATCTTTACGGCACAGACGGAAGCAAATCATCACAAACATGCATAGCCTGTAGGTTCGCGCCACCATCAGGAGCGAGGGAGCCACAAAGACGAATGTCTGTCATCTCCATGGAGCAGAGAGGCAAATGCATCCTGACTACAGAAGCTCGCCGTAGTAGTGTGGCAGACACTTCTCACAATGTGGCACTGACTATTTAGCACATCTTGAAGGTGCTGCACTTAATATGCAGGAGAACATGAGAAGAGGTTATTGGGCACAGTAGACAGCACTGCGGAAATACCTGGTCCAGGAAGGAGAGGAGAGGAAGAAAGGCACGTACCTTTCGTGGCCTTTTGGCTAAGATCAAGTTTCTTATCAGTTTAATATCTGATCTGTGGTCCATCAGGCTACATAATATACAAGTCAAATTTTCAGGGCTACGGAAGGGCCATAAGGGTGGGCTTGCCTACTTGGCCTCTTACATTGCCTTTATGTTGCACTGCAGGGAAGTGTGGCGCGGCCCATCGTCCAATAGGGAAAGAAAAGAAAAGAAACCTTATGGACTTCCTTTTTTTTTTTTTTTTTTTTTTTTTTTGTGTGTGTGTCCAATCATATCCCATGACATACAATGTTATGGACCCCATATCATTCATGGTTCGCTCAGCCAGACCGTAACCAAATTGACGTCAAATATTCCCACTCGCAAGCCATAGAGCTTCCTAAAACATACGCTGCTTGCCGTCCCCAATTCCCTGCCCATCATGCAAAACAACAAGGCTGTGAACTCATACATCATCAACTAATGGTGTGGGCGCTATTTAGCGGATGGTTTCGAGAGGGTTCATTCAAATACGTAGGCTCATACATAAGCTCATACATTTCAGGGGCGATGCCAACCATCCATATAAATCATATTCAGGGAGGAAAGAAGGAAGCTCATACATTTCAGGTGAGATTCCCATCTGATTCATCCATACAAAGCATATTCAAGAAGGAAAGAGGGAGACCGATGAGAATTAATGCATACATAGGGGAGAGGGAGAAAATATAGGACCAAAAAAAACCGCATTAGGTGAGGAAAGCAACTTCCAAAATTAAAAAAGAGATCAATCAAACCAAGTAGTCTGTCTGCTCAGCTCCTGGTCCTCCGCTCCGCCTCGGGGCATAAAATCCCTTATAATCCGTGAATCAACTTTTGTCATGCAATCAAAATTAATTCCCTATTCCTCCGCTCGATCCATCCCTGAGACAGGTATTCTCATCGTATTATCTTTGCCCTACTCGCCCTTTATTCCGGGCCGAGGCCGCCCATAATTCCTCCGTTTCCTGATACATCCCTTCTAGTTCCTCCCTCTGAGGGAATAGTTCTCATCCCTAGAGACTTCTCCCGTCATCCCAACCACTCCACCGAGCTTACTATCATCAGCAGTAGACCGGGAAGGTCCGTAGCGGTAGTGATGGCAGCTAGGTAGCATGATGAAGGGCGACTCGGTAGCTCCTAGTAGATTCTTGCACTGGTAGGAGGGGTGTGGGTGTGGCATCCCCTAAAAGTTTTTTCGCCGTCGCCACAGATCCGGCTCGTCAGAGAGGTTTATACATCCTGCAAAAACACGATACAAGTGACATCTACCCAATCCGGATCAAACACAGCCAGCCCAAGCACACATTCAAGCCCAGAGCAGGAACGAGGATGGTATATAATGTGTCTTCCGCCGTTCGTGCCTCTTCCTACATCCAGTCTATGCGAAGTTGTCTCGTCGATTACGGTAGCTAAATCCCAGTCCTCCATACGCCAAAACACCGGCGCTCGTCAGTAGGTTCCAAATACACTGCTATCAAGTTGAGCATCCCACTCGCATGCTCAAGCAAGCAGTCAAGTCGGTTATATATCAAAGTCATGAAGGGTTGGGGAAAGGCATCCCCAACCTTCATGACTTTGATATATACCAGACTTCGATATGCCTGACACATTGAGCTGACTCATCGAAGTAATTCACGGGGTTGAGTTCCTCCGAGATTGCCGGCTTGATATAAGCCCGCTCCTGGTCCGTAATTGGCCGGTTCATTCATGTCTCAGGGTCGGGGGGTTCCACGTTCTATCATCGCTGCGTTTTCTGAACTCACCGGGTCAACTGGGAAGATCGATGCAACTCCTGAGAATGGAGTACACCGCCTAGGTTCGATTCCCTGCTTCCTATTCCAGGTCTAATGGGTGGGCTTGGGAGGCAAAACGTGGTCTGTGATTTTGTGTATTTCAAAATACCAGCCCAGGTCGGAGTCCCAGCTCCCCTTCTCTGGTTTCCGATTCCTGGGTTTAGTCGGTGGGTCCAGGGGTAAAATTGCATACTCCGGCTGGGTTCGAAATTCAGTCCAGTTTTGCGTTTTGCTGTGTTTTTTTGGTCCAGAGGTGGGTCCTGGGGTTGAATCCTGGTTTGTCGTACAAGTGGTAAAGGCCGAGGAAGGTATTTTTATCTCCTCCGAGTTCTTCCTGGATCGAGCCCCGTTCCCAGCCCGTGTTCTCCATGAGGGGAAGCAGGCAGGTATGGGTATCCCAGTTTACTCCAATTTGTTCTGGTTGTCATGCCCTGGTATCAGTGTTCCCCTGCCTTAGTTGTGCTGCTCCATTTGTTTGGTCCTCCTCGTTTTCCACTCTTCTCACCTGTATCTTCCTATCCTGCTCTCCATTGCCGTTTTTCCGATCTCCTTCGTTTGTGTACAGCCTGCATATTGATCTTTTTTGTGTTTTGACACAAGGTGGAACCCCAGCGAGAACAGTCGCGGCAAGCTGCGCAGAGAAAGCAAGTTAAAAAAAAAAAAAAAAACAGTCACGGCGAGCTGCGCAGACAAAGCAAGTAAAAAAAAAAACATACCAGGATACAAATTGTCCACTAAAATGCCCTACTGTAGGATTGAGGCAGAAGCCGCCGAATAGACTAGAACATGGGGAGGGGGCAGAAAGCAACAAGGAGAAGGTAGTGCACAATGAGGAGATGTATGAAGAGGCATGGAATGACAAGTCACAACAAAGCACCCAGGCTGGAGGGCATGGGGGAGGAGGGCGGGCACACAACCGAAGTAGCAAAAGATAAAGGCGGTGAGCTAAGAAACGAATAGTACCCATGAAAGACATAGGCTAGATGGCAAGGGCGAGGCAGGCAGGGAGATGCACAACACAAGTCCGCAGAAGCAATGACAGCAGACCGAAAGGCAAAAACTGAAAGCAATAAAAAACTGATAACAAGATTGTTTTGCATAGACTCATCAGGAGGCTGAACCCTCAACAGTCTGCGGAAGCTCTGTATTTGGTGGTTTGGGTCATGAACCCTGTGACCCTTGTTGAAGGCAGACTGTCCCCAAGCGGAACGTAGCAGCGGGCAGCAACCCTGCGGAGCACCAGGCACAGTAGGCCTGCACAATGCCAAAAATGACTGCAAGGAATGACACGGCAAACAGGATACACAGTGCGGCAACCTGTCGGAGATGCATTGACTCATCAGGAGGCTGAACCCTCGACAATCTGCAGAATCTCCGTATTTGATGGTTTGGGTCATGAACCCTGTGACCCTTGTTGAAGGCAGACTGTCCCCAAGCGGAGCGTAGCAGCGGGCAGCAACCCTGCGGATCACCAGGCAACGCAGTAGGGCTGCCCAACGCCAAAAACGACTGCAAGGAATGACACGGCACGCGGGAGACACAGCGCGGCAACCGTGCAATGAAGCACAAGGCAACACAAGCAAGGCAACCACACTACAAGGGACGACAGGGTGAGCAGACCAGCTGCTCCGTAACCGTGCAGTGAAGCACAAGGCAATAGCAACAAGGCAACCAATCTACAAGGCACGCAAGCAACAACGGAGGGCACGGGCCAGCGGATGCAGAAAGGTAGCAAAGCAGCGAAGTGCGAGGCGACACCAACAGCACGGCCACACCGCAGAGTGAACACAGCAGCTTGCAGAGAACCACATGCGAAGCCAGCGAGACAGGCAGCAAGGCAGCAGCGGAGTGCAGGCGAGGCAGTCCACACATCCAACACGGAGTAAAGTGGCACGTCACCTACTCAAATCACGATTGAACCTCCGCAGACTGTTCGTTCCCACCACCCACTGAGCCAGGGAGTCACCACGGATGATAATCCATCATCACCCCGAGGGCAGAGAGACGTCCTGAACAGAGCGGACCCTCTAAGAGTGCTGTAGGCACTCTGAACAAGGAATCGCCAACTGTTTGGCACTGCTTAAGGGTGCTCAGTTGGGTAAGCAATACATATTTTTAACAACGCAAAGGGAGGACAGACAACAGGAGAAAGACGGACGGACATAAAACTGATTGTTTTTTTTTTTTTTTTTTTGTGTGTGCGTGTGTGTGTGTGTAAGTGTGTGTTGTCATGTTGCTATTCACAACTCCACAAATTAGGCTTTCTGTAAATGTTCAACTTCAGGTACTGCTGTACGCCCGCACATTATCTCTGTATCTGGACTGAGAGTGGCCCCCAATTACAGCTATAATGACCGGGCGTTCTTGGGTGAGTAATGCTTTTGATAGTCTTGCCCGTTGAGGAATGTGTTTGTATTGTTGCCTTCGGTAGCTGCAGCTAGATGTTGGAAAAGGTCGAGTTGGCTGTTTGTTCATGTGTTGGGCTTTCACTTGCAGACAGTGAGGATGCAGTTGCATCTTATCATCATGGCATTTGTCTTCATGTGTGTTTGTACAGGTGATTGGCAAAACACTTTTCACAATCATGGTTCTCATGGCACTTTTTACGACTTTCGTCACGTCCCCCATCGTTGCGTATCTGACAAAGCGTGACCAACCTGTTTCATATGATGCACGGACAATCGCTAGTTACGAAGCAGCAGATGATGCATCAGATTTGAGATTGTTCATGTGCGCTCATGGTCTACGTAATATTCCGGCGCTCGCGCATTTGTCAGACCTGTCGAAAGGGCGCAGTGGGGGGCGGAAGAAAAAGGGATTGCGTGTGTATCTTCTGCACTTGGTGGAGTACACAGAGAGATCTTCGTCACTTATGCTTGTTGCAAAGGCGAGGAAAGGCGGAAAGCCGACTGTGAGCAAGAAAATACCGGGGATCGATGATGTTGGATCCATGTTCCAGACATACGGGAGATTAGCGAAGGTGAATGTGAAGACAATGATGGTCGTCTCGGGCACGAGCGATATGCATGAGGATATCTGTTCCACCGCTGTGGACAAGAAAGCAAACATGGTTGTTCTTCCCTTCCACAAGTACCTAGGCGCTGACGGGTCTGTCGACGCCAATCTTGTGGGATTCCATCGCGTGAATCTTCGGGTCCTGAGGCACGCACCCTGCTCGGTTGGAATCCTGATTGACCGTGGGTTTGGAGGATCGGCCAATGTGCCATCGAGCGAGACTTCGTATGATATCCTTCTCTTATTTTTCGGCGGTCCAGACGACCGCGAGGCGCTCGCTTATGCGAGCCGAATGCTCGGCCACCCCAACGTGAACTTGCGTGTTGTTCGCTTCAAGGCATTGACTCCAAAGGATGTCACAGTGCATGTGGGTGTAGAGGTGTCCGGGCAGCATTCACAGCGGCACTCCCGCTTCCACTGGCCTGGGGGCAGTGCTCATCACCGCCAGCCTCAAGAGATATCGGCGAAGGAGAAGGAGATTGCTCTCGAGGAGAGCAAGCGCTACGCTGCTGCCGAGGCATCACAGGACGAGGTTGCACTCGAAATGCTGAGGACAAAGATATCTTCTCCGGCAGATGAGAAGAGCTCTCAACAAGCCACCCAGCCTTCCCCACAGTGCACTATCGAAGAGGTGCAAACCGATGATGTTATCCAAGCGGCAGTTCGCGCTGCCAGTGTGCGGAATATTGACCTCATTGTTGTGGGGCGCGGGCGCAGACCAGCACCTATTGTTGCCAGCGTTCCAGTTCAGGACCACGCCAACCGTGTGGATTCTCACGAACTCGGAGTCATCGGTGATGCGCTGGTGGCCACTGACACGGTTGTCAAGGCATCAATCCTGATTATTCAGCAGCATGACGCCGATCTAGTCGGAGTCCCGACAGGGCAGTCATCAAGGTTTCCAGTTACGACAGCAGCTTTGACTCAGTCGGGGCGAAAGGCGAGAGACATAAGCAAAAACGGCAAGGGTCAAGAAGCAAAAGACATCGAAGGGAAACATGTTGACAAGCAGGGGCCATGATCAGAAAGGGTTTTCTTGGTCGCTTGTGTCGTCCATCCAGCCCTGCAATCCCAGGGCATGAGTGGATGGCATATCTGATTCACCGTAACTCACAGAGAACTGCTTTGTGGGAGAGGGTGCTGCTTTGTGCGGTGGAAACACATCCACGAAGGCAAATGCCGAAAGTGTTTGGCCATACGTGCAGCAGGTTGGATGTCGTGAGTTTAAGAGAGAGAGAGTGTGTGACCACTGCAACCATGCCGGGGTGTGTTGGATGTCACAACGGCCCAACGGGTATGGGTCCGCTTGTGAATCATGGTTCCTGTGTCTAAGTAAGACATCCGAAACGTTCTGGCAGAGATGGCCAGCTCGATACCCTGTATGGGTGTGGTGGATCGAAGGAGGAAGGTACTTCTTACCTGCTTGATATGACATGAACAGTGTTGAAATGAACCTCGACAGTTCACGACTGTACGCTTCAAGATGGCAAGATGGCTGATCATCATTCTGTGTTCTGTAATGGCCACTGCACCGAACTGTCAAAAGCTTCTGCATCATACTGCATGCGCCGTGGTCTTTCACAAACGCCCCTGGGAAGGAAGATTTGTGCACAGCGGTGATGGTGGAGGTGGTCTGGATCCCGACTTGTTATGCAAAGGCGGCCTTAAACGAAGGGAGGTTGTACTGTAACAAAAATCTCCCTGGGGGTCAACAGCTTTCACCCTTGTCTCATATTTATGGTGATGGAGGGAGTGTTGCCGTTGCTCGGGCATGATAAGGTTTCAGTAACAACTGGTAAAAAAAAAAAAAAAAAAAAAAAAAGAAGGGGTTCTTGAGACAACTGGTGCTAGCTGTGCAAGTTGTCAAAGTTGGAGTGGAGTAACACAGCTAGCTGTACACTTTTGGAACTAGTTGTGTTATTTTTTGCTCTTCTTCCCCCAAACATAACGCACCCTGAAAATGAACGTACAGAAGCTATGTTTCTGGCACAATACAGTAAAAATGAGGGTGCGTTGTGTTCCCGGGAAGACCGCAGTTACATGGAATATCGTGAGACTTTCTTTGTCGTTAAGAAAAAAAAGAAAAAAAAAGGGTATGTAGTGTGAACGAATGGAAGGTAATAGAGAAAGATTGGTGCATGGGATTCTGCAGTGGATTGCCTGCTGCTCTTCACCGGTTCGCCAGTTGTAGCAGCTAGAAGAAGAGAGCGGCAAATGCTTCATTGACATTGGGGATGCGAACGCCGAATGGATGCCGGCGTCCACAGCATTGTTGTCGTGAGGGAAATGATTTATGCCGAGGGAGCCTCAGGGAGGGGAGAAGGCAAATGGCTTATGCCGAGGGAGGGGAAAGTGAGGTAGTCGTTGCTGTAAGAAGCAGTGCAGCCACCTTCAAGGAGTGGCAACGGTAAATGGCATTTGCTACTGCCTCTGTGAGGCCTACTCACGCTAGCACTCTCCTAAATGCATCTCGCCGCAATTGCGGCCAGAGCTGGATGCATCCGACTGCAACAACTTCCAAAGCTCAGGTGAAAAAGTCCTACTGTGAATATGCGCTGAGTGCAACAATGGACCACACTTATCTGGGCCTTTTTTTCTTTTTTTTTTTCTTTTTTTTGGGACAAGTGCTCCAGTCTATTCGTGGGGAGCAACATGTGCTGGGAACCGGGCCCAGCATCCCATACACTTATCTGGGCCTATATCGAGTAAGGGAAGAGTTTCTGGTCCTATGACAAGAGAGGGGCATCTGAGCCTCCACCGAGGGAGGGTGGGTCCATGCCAAAGGAGGGCTCTCCTCCAGTATTGGCCCATACTGGCGCATACATCAGCCGCTGGCCCCTCACATTAATGCACCGCGACTTTCGGGGCTGAGCGGCAGTGGATAAACCTCAACAATGGCCTTTGTCGCATAATGAAAAGACCCGGTGAGGGGCCCGGGGTTGATTTATGGGCCAAGTACAGCCTTGCAAGATTTCTTCATGCCTCAGTCCAAACATTTTGGAGGCTCAGGGATACAGGACCACAATGGCTGGCGGCGCCAGTTCGGCAAAGCTTGGCACACGCAGTGCAGCGCCAGCAGGCGCGGGTGTGGTGGTGGCATAAGGGAGGGGTCTCTGGGCCTTTTGGGCCTAAAGGGAAGATTCGTGGCTCCTATTCCTTTCATACATATATTCAATATTGTAATGCTTTTCAAAATGTAAAGAAAAAAAAAAATCCAGGCATACTGCACTCAATACTTCGGGAAAGAGGGGAGGCCCTCCCCACATGCGTCAGTGTGATGCCCCTTTTTTTTTTTCTTTTTTCTTTGTTTGTCTTTTAATTTGATGTGGG